GCTTATTCCTCCTGACCCCACATGGGACACCTGAGGATCAGAGAGGGAAAGTGATTTTCCCCAGATTTCATCTGCAGGGAAATTGAGGGGGAGGACAGAAGAGCACATGGAGAGGGTGCGGGGTCCTTGGGGGAAGTTCACAGCACTGACATGTAGCAGGGTTAGGAGCAGAAGCACGCGCAGCGGAGCCCCAGCCTGTACGGGAACCCAGGGGTCCGATAACCTCTCTGGCCCATCGCTTAATTTTGTGGCCAAAGCCACCCTTACTACATAGTGTTTGTGGCTACTCTGATAGAGTGTCCCAGAGCCCAACACACTGAGCGTCTCTCCTTCTACCGAAGAATTACACAGACCCCTGTCCTAAGCTCCGGGGCAGGGACAGAAGTAGTCCCCTCACTCTCTGTCCCCGACTTCCACCTGAACCTGCCTGAGGACGGTCTCGGTCAAGTTCCCACTGAATCATGGTAAAGAGAAAGCATCTCTCCAAGCTACGTTTACAAAATGTCCTCTGGACCTGGAGGAGTCACCCAGGTCTCCCAAAGAAACGTTCCAAAGGACATGGACGGTGAGGCATCCCTCTCAGAAGGAGGACAAAAAGGCTCAGAGTGATTAAGAACCACTCAGGCCTGGCCTCTCTGCGGAGCCCTTTCTGTCCAGGCTGAAAATGAGGTGCTGGGGAAGGAGTATTTCAGATAAAAGGCTTGTTTAATTTGTGAGATTAAACAAACCAACAGAAAAGGGTTGCCTGCTCTAGAAGGGTTTACAGAAGGCAGTAGAAGAGTGTGGTCATGCCTAGGGGATCTGTTTGGAAGAAGAATGCTAAAGTACAAAATTTCCCTGAGAAAGGACTCCTCGGTTTGCCTTCGGAGCGGTGCAGGGGGTCCTCGGGAGGCCTCCGCGGCTAGCAGACACTGCACTGAGCTCCCACGTCTCTCCAAATTGCCTCTGAATTCAGATCTGTGGCTGCCTGGGGTGGCAGACACTTCTCTTTGGTGGCACTCTCTTCTTGGAGAGAGGAAAAGTCGGTGAAAAACAATTGTTCTTCTCCCCTTAGAGACACTGATGTTGGCAGCCGTTTCATGCACGGCAAGCTCGCGGGGAGGGGCCCGTCAGGCCCCTCTGTGACAGAAGAGGCAGCTTGCACGAGCGAACCTCACAGAGAATGCCTCAGTGTCCCCTCAGGCAAGCAATGGCAGCCAAGCAGCGAGGCGGTTTACACACATCTGATCTCCATGCTTCCTTGCTCAGCAACACCTAGCCTTAATCTGGCAGCTGCAGATGTCAGGGGGGGAGGCGACGAGAAGGAATCACACACCACAGCTGCCTATCCGGAGCCCTGGCAGCCTCTAGGAATACTTCTCTGCCTTTCATCCCGCACCCCGTCTTGGAAGTGCTTCTAGGAGAGAAGAGCGGGGAAGCCAAGGAGAGCGGGAATTTGAGGCCAATCCCAGGTCCTGTGCCCTAGGATGGGGGACACTACGTCAGCTGGCGATGCCTCTGGGGGGTGGTCTGTGGGGAGTGAGGATGGGGGTAAAAGAGGAGAGATGGTGATGGAAATTGGCAGAGATGGACCAGTTGGCACCAAAGAAACAGAACCTAAAACCCGAGGCAAACCCCAGCCAGCTCTGTCGCTACCCCAGAACGGGTCTCTCGTAAGACGGCTCCCTTCTTTGCCCAGGAGACAGACTGAGATGTTCACTTTCTCCTGGTTTCAGCTGGAGGAAAATGGAGCAGGACTGTGGAGAATGAACCCAGAGATGGGCCCTATGGCTCTCAGAACTGGTCTGAGACATAAAACCCAGACTCACAGTCATTAATCAGAGATACTGATGTCCCTTTTAGCATCCATCAGTGGTAGACACACGGGTTCTGAATCCTTCACGATAACAACCGCCCGTCCTGAGTACACCCGTGCCTAGGATTTCCACGGGTCTCTAACGGGGAGGGTACCAAACCCGGTCTCTCTGCTCCTGTGTTGTTCAACGTCCCCAGCCTCTAATGTGAACAAAACCTCTGGCTTCTACTGTGAGCGGCTAAGAATAGCCACCTGGTCAACAACCACAGAGCTCTGACCACGGGCTTGCCATATTTTTACTGGCTTCTTTATTCTTCTTTTTTCTCTCATTGAAAAAAGAAAGTACTGGTTAAGAGGAAATAATCCATCATCTTAATTATACCATTTTTTGTTTTTTTTCTTTTCTTTTTCATTTGTTAAAGCTCAAATTTTAGAAAAAGATACATGACGACACTATGTTTATAGCCGCTGCTTAAGGAAGAAAAAAAAATGCACACCCAGGCTACATTGTTTAAAATGTGACTCATAACAACAATAAAAGTCTTCTTACAAATCACATGACAACGAAGCTTATTCATTCTCCCATCCTCCTTGTTCCTTCCCTACACATTCTCTTTTTCTCTAAGGCTCGTTTCTCATCGTTAGGGACTCACACCCTGGTTTACAATCAAAGTATACACACTAAGCAGAAAACACAAGGTGATTGGAATAAAAGAAAATGTTTCATGGCAAGAAATGAGTAAGAGGCAGAGAATGAAAGACACTTTCAAATAGAAAAGATCAAGATATTCCTCATAAGAGCCAGCCCAGAGGCCACTTTTATTGCGTTTCCTTAAAGATTTACCTAGTACACATCGGTCTCTCCTAAAGAATGAGATTGCTTCTGTCTCATGCTTAATTTATAATGGAAAAGAAAAACAACCTGGATTCAAGAAAAGCCGTGCTAACAATGTAACCGCCTATTGTTACTAGTGTTACACCATCAACTTTCCACATCCTGCCTGCCCAAACCTGGTTTCTCTTTGTTTCCCTTTTTGAGTGAAAAGGCTGACTTCATCCCAGGACACCCCCACCCCCACCAGGGCTGCCGCTGACCAGGACAGGAACGCTGTGCCAGTCAATGACAAGGTTAGACAGAGCAAATGGTTACCCCGGGTAGAAGGCTTTGCTTGAATTCAAAACACAGAGCTGCATGCTGAGGTCAAAGCGGCCTCGGCCCCACAGAAGGCCGGCCCTGAGTTCACCTGGCTACCGCCTCCGAGTTCCAAGTACAACTTGCCAATGTGATAGAAATTGCCTATTTTCAATTCCAATCCTGCCCTTGACTTTATGTTCCTCGGTCAAGTCTCTGCCCCTCAGGACTTGGTTTCTTGCTTCCAGAATGCTCGCTCTCTCCAGAGGCAACAGCCAGGGGCCAGACCGTGCCACCGGGAGCTGCTTTTGCTTAACCCCGGAGTCAGCCCACCGGGAGCCCGCCGGAGATGCTTACCTTCCAGTCACTAAGCCCCGAGTTTATTTTGGCTAAGTGAGCGCTGCGGCTCTGATGATATTTTATTTATATATTTTGTGCACGAGAACATACTGGACTGTGAAGCCTCACGGTAAACACAGCCTCAAGGAGAGCACATGTGCCCTGCTTTGTTGATTCTCTTAAGAAGCAAAGCACTTAGCCCCTATACTTGTCAGTCATGGACCGAGACACGCCGGCTCGCATGCGACAGTGTCTGTGCCACTCCTGGATGTCTTTGGCCAGCCTTCCCGGGCGCTTGGAGTCTTAGTGAGCAGCCTTGACTGGCCCCACAGAGACGTTACCTTGGGTCCCGGAATTCCAAGAACTTGAAAGCAACTGTGATCCAAGTGAGTCACTTCCGACTCAGCTGCCCTGCCCACACTCAGACCCGCACGAACAGAAATTTCACGCACCGAGAGCATCAGCCCACGCCCAGGAACACACTCCTTACTTTCCAGGGTGCCGGGGGGAGCGGGGGCGGCGCTGGGGAGCCAAGGACGGGGGAGAAAGCAAGAAATCGTATTCTGTGTCGGTCTGTCCCTCTCTTTCCAGCCACTCTCTCTCCCCTCCCCCCCGCAGCTATTGTCTTAGAGGGTGATGAGTGGAAAATTAGGCCCGATGATTTGGAGTCAAAAGCGCATCTAGGTGGCAAACCAGGAATTCATCTCTTTCTAGCCAGGAGCTGGACAGATTAATGAGAGTGAAGATAACGAGTCTAGACTTGAGATATAAAAATGACTTCCCTTATCTCTGGAATGCTGTCACCTCTGGGGTAAAGGCCAGCAGGGGTGAAGAGGGCACAGCAGGTCTCGCAACTGTTTGTATGAAAAACCCCAGGCGTCAGGTGAGGGGCAGTGTGGGCGTGTGGTCTGCCACCCCGGCCAACAGAACTGAAGCCCTCGGACAGGCTTCTAGACACTCGGCACTGGCCTGCTGGGTGGGAACTGCATGGGTGCCAAGTCACTGGAGAGCAAGGAGGGCAGGAGGGGAACCACCACCCATGGCCGGACCATGAGGTCCCCAATTCTTCTCTCTCTGCTCTGCTCTTTACTAGGGAGAAAATGTCCTGTTCTGGTTTTCAGTCCTGTATTTAAATGCTCTAACTCCAGCCGGCAAATGTGCCTCCTTGTTCCCTTCACCGGACACCGGCTCCAGAACTCGGCAACTTTTTCTCCGCAGGATCATAGCTCCTCGTGTCTTTTCCCTAACTTTCTACCCTCGCCAAACTGCCCGCACTGTCCCTCACTGCGGATTCATTGAGACTGCTGCCTTGGTGCCCTGCGGCTGGGAAGAAACCATCTTCGGGCGAAAATAAATCATTGCCACCTCATTTCACTTTTAATTTACTACTGATTTTTGTTGTTGTTCAGTCTCTCCCACAGCCTCTCCTTTCTCACCGCTCAAGCATTTTCAGCCTCATTGCTCCCCATTGGACAATGCAAGGCTGAAAGGTTTATCTGTAACCTATTTGTCTCTATTATAGGTTTCTAAACTTTAATTAAACAAGAGACGGTAAAGATCTCAATCCTCTTTCCTGGAATCTACAGGTGTTGTTGGTGCCATCTAGTGGCGGGAAGGTGTGGCGTCTGTTTTCTCTTGAGAGATCTGTCAAGTTTGGAGGTGCCTCCCCTACACCAAATTCACATCACATGGGTGGAACAAAAAGACATACAAAAAAAAAAATATTTTTTTTACCTTTAAAATTCTCACCTGCAAAAGCTGAGATGGGTTCTGGAGGGAAAAAAAAGAAAAAAACATTGAGTTAGATAAGGGGTAGAAGTAATGGGGCAGGTTTAAGGTATAATGAAGATGATTTTTTGTAATACCCCATGGAAAGTGTCCCCATGTCTCCTCATGCTCGAGACTGTGTCTAACACATTGGCATCACCGGGGTTGGCAGCGGCGGGGGGAGAACCCTAAAGTTGCTTTGGAACAAAAAGGACTTTATAGAGCAATGGGTCTCTGAAGCATTGTAATCAGTCATTTACCACTGATTACTTTCTCGGAGCCTGGATTACACGTAGATGCCCGGGGCCTGAAGGGGCTGGGGTGGTCCCAGCTGCTTCTGACATCATGGGGCACACACACATCCAGGACCCGTGTGCCAAGAAGAGCACTCAGAAAGTGATCACAGTCACTATGCCGAGTAACGCAGGTCCTGTTCCTTCTCAGAATTCCCTCTTGCTTTTGGAAATGCCCATGGCGCTCTGGGAGATGGTCTGGATGGGTGGATGTGTGCATCTTCTGTGGGCTGTCTACTCAGCACTTCTATCCAAAGGGACAATCACGGTGTCCTTCCTGTGCTGGTCACTTGGCCTGCGGTATTTAATCTTACACCTCTGGGATCCTGGGCATTGAAGCTACTAGCTTCAAAGGAAACTAAAATTTTACCTCACCTGCCATCATTTGCCCTGCAATTCATTCATGTACAGGAGCAACGTGGGTAATCGTGTTATCAGTTTGATATAACACATGTACTATTTTAGCTCACCAGTGAAGGCTTCCATTAAAAACATCAAACCCTTGCAGCATGGAATTCTGACTGGCAGCTGCTCTCATTCTCTAGCATTTTCTTTGCTAAAAGCTGGAGTCTGATGATGGGGTGTTGGCACCCTGAGTCTCTGTATACTTAATGCTTGTCTATTTCTGAATGGGAACAGGAGATAGAAGACTTCCCCTCGTTTCACACCCCTCCCATCCCGAATGCAGCCTAAGATACAACGATATTCATAGCCCACCTCCTGCATGGACTGTAGCTGTTCTCCCACTGGGTTCAACTGGGTTTGAAAATGGCGTGCTGCCTCCTCTTGTATATCCCCGCCCCTGGTGTCTTATTTGGAAGAACCACAAAGAGACAGATATTCACGTACCCATACAGTTCTCCAGTGGGACATCAGTGCTTATCCGAATGTCGTCAATGGCAATTTCTCCTGAACGTCCTTTTCCTATGACTCCCTCAAACACAATCTAGAAGCCAGGAGAACAAGAGCCATGGTTAACTTAGCTCCCTGGTTCAAACCATGCAAAGATTTCCAATTTTCTGTTAGCCACAGCTTAAAGTGTGTGTGTGTGTGTGTGTGTGTGTGTGTGTATTACTGTACCTGGTACACATCTGTTGACCACATGGCTACAGTACTTGAAATCTTAATTTAAAAAGAATCAAATGCATATCTAAAGGGATTAAAAATATATATAACAAGGTGTGGATATTGTTGTCCAGTAACTGGAAGGTACTGATTAAAAGGACCAGAATCAAGACATGTTTAAAGGAGGGTTGAAATGTCCCTAGCCATGTCTGAGTTTTCTTTCCCATAAATCTTTCAAAATGCCCAATCCAGGTATTTGGAAACACAGAGGACGTAACAGATGGGAGTAAGGTGAGATACACAGTGTGCTGGGTTTGGACTGCCTTTGGCATAACATTGTCTTATATCTCCATTATTACAACGAGGAGGGAAAGGATTTTCTCCTCCACCAATACTTGCCTGAACACCTACTATGTGCCAGGTGCAAGGGTGGTTGCAAAATTGAGCATACGGACCCTCTGCCCAGGGAACCACCCCATCTGGCGGGTGAGACAAAAATGCAAACAGGTCCTTGCAATACAGCGCATTGAGGTTTACAAATGGGAATGCAGGCAGGGTGGGGCGGAGCCCAGGACCCCTTATAACCTCCAGCGCGAGTGCAGGCTGCAGGCTGAAGGCCCTTGGCTCCGTGGTCTTCAATCATTCCTCACACTCACCCTCCCCGGTTCTCTCCGCAGACGAGCACATGTCCTCTGGCAAGCTGAGCGAGCAGTTGGCTGCCTCACCAGCCATCTGTTGCTGCTTCTTGTCTGGGGAGGAGCAGGTTAATGCCTTGGCTGGTTCTCAGTCACCTCTTCCACAGTGCGCCTACTCCTACCCAAGCCTCAGCCACAGCTGCGCAAACCCATCTGTGCCTCAGTCTTTCGCTCTGTGGCGCAGAGATAATAGAGCCCAGCTCCTGCAGCTGTGGGGAGAGGAACCCCTCGTTGAGGAGCCTTTCGGGTCTGCGGGCCACTGAGTGCAAACAGCGGCGGTCCCTTCTATGCGCCCACCTGCCCCAGGGCGGGTCTGGCAGGATTTTGTCCTCTCCTTGGAGCTCGAGGGGGCTCGGCAGGCTTCCTGCCTTGTATGTGGAGTCTGGTGTGTGTTTATTTCCCCGGCTTCTGGGTCCCTTTGTCAGGCTACCTGATAGCAATCTAAACTAAACTGGAGAGAAGAAACATTTGTTGGGAAGATTTCAGCAATATAAAAGGCAATAGGAGGAACAAAGAACCAAGTCTGGGTGTAGAGATAGGCACATTTTGAATAACAAATAAGAGTGTCATTTAGTTGCCATGGCAATGTGAGAAACACAATGAAAACAGCGGCGCTTAACCACGTTCCCTAATGATGAATGGGCACAGCCCTGGGAAATCTTGAAATCTGGATCACAAAGATTCCCCTGGATCTCTGTACCTGCCCCCGCCGCCCATCACCACCCTACCTGATACTCCATGTCATAGCTGGGCAAGATGATCCGCCCGTGTTTCCACTCGTCACCCTGGTCCTCGCGGATGACCCAGAGGAGCTTGCTCTCCTGGCTGGCCTCGCGCACCACCTGCAGCGCCACCCCGTGGCCGCCGGTGGCTTGGTACTGGAACTCCATGCACACGGGGCTTCGGGGCAGGTGCACGGGAGGGCTGATGAGCCGTGCGTACTGGCCCTCTCTCCGGCCGTCGCTCTGCAGCCGCAAGAAATTCCTGTCATCTGTAGGAAAGAAACCCAGAGGGTCCCGGTGAACACTGGGGAGAGAGACCAGTTTGAGGCTGTGCCCTCCCGCCCCGGGAAAGCCAGAACCAGAGTTTGGGGGTTGAAGTCTTGTTTATTCATGTCCTTGTTCTCCAGGCCCCGTGCTTCCTTCTCAAGGCTCTTTCCGAGCTTGGCTCAAAAGCGGCTTCCTTTTGAAGCCTCTTCGGGAGCCTGTATGTCGGGTTGGTCTTTCCTGCCCGTTTCTCCATGTCACTCTCTCTGTCTTGTCTGCGGATGGCACCTGGTGCGGTTGGCCTTCCGTCTTGGCTGGCAGTGTCTGTGTCTGTCTTCCCCCCCAGATTCGAAGATGCCAGACCCGCATCTTATTCGCCATAGGCTCACCCAAAGGACCGATGCTGCCTAATGGACTAGATTATAAGGGGGCGAGGCGGCGGCGAGACCTGCGGAAGATCCCGGCCAGGCGACTTGTGCTTCAAGCCTTTGTCGTCTCGGCTGGGCACTGTCCAAACGGAAGACATTTAAAACCGTCTGTCTCTACCCGTGCCACTAGGAGATACCTGGGCTCTAGTGACTGTCAGAAGCCAGCATCCACCTGAAGCGGAAGAAGGGATGCTGGCTGTGGTGGGGTGGGGTTCAAGCCAGGGCGGCTGGACGTACTACTTCCTTCCCTGTCTGGGCCAAGGAGGCCAGAACTGGCCCTTTTCAGAAAGCCAGGCAAACAGAGCTCCGCCGAGAACGGGCGCAGTCATCGTCACTAACGAGGGCTATGCGTTTAATAGACAATATACACTGGGTGGGAAATCAAGGTTTCACACCCCCAATGCTTTGGAAGATGGGCCTTTTGGCTGATTACTTTGTAAATACATCAGACACAGTGCAGACGACGGAGGTCTTGCTGCCATTTGCAGACCGCGTCCTGCAGACCGGGGTATGGGGGCCTGTCCCTGCAAACCCAACAGGCACAGGAGCATTCCGGCCTCTTGTGCAGAACACAGGGTGGCGTTTGACGAGCTCACTGCCTCCTTTGGCCCCGAAACCTCCTAGGCTGAACTCTTCCGCAAGGTGGCGGGGGCATGTTCATACCACACAGCCAGCCCCTCAAACACTTTAGAATCCCGTTAATCTGAGATGTGCGCACCCAGCTTTCTCATTCACCAGGGACTGTGAACATCCTGGGCTTGTTAGGGGAGAACAGGCAAGGACTCCAGAGCCCCGAATCAACAGGGTTATTCTCTAGACCAGTGGTTCGCTGTTGCCACTCCGGCTGACATCATTGTTCGAGCAAGAAGGAACATGTCGCAGTCCTCCCATCACTGGCCCCCAAACCTCTCCTTCCTTCCTTCCCACAGCCATCTCTCTCCCTCCTTCCTGCCCCCCAAGTCTCTCCAGTTAGATTCTCTAGGATTACTGCACCAAAAGCTACCCTCCCTTGCAGTCAAATCAGACCAGTTCAGGATGCATAGTTGGGATTCCGGTTTGTCTCCTTAACCATCCAGAACCACATGTCTAATACCCCAGCTCAGGAGAGCCCTTCAAGGCCAGAGTTAGCGCAGATAACTAGGCAGCGGTCCACAGCAAAAATTTCGAAGGCGGTGATCTGCCAAGGGAGGAGACACAGGGGCCGCAACCAGACAGCTCCAAGATCTTCCAAACTTACGCCTTCTCCTATCAGATCCTATTACTACCATTATTAATGATAATAATTAAGTCACATTTGCAGAATGCTTTGCAGGTTTCCAAAGCACGTTCACGAGCATTGTTTCATCTAATCCTTCCTAAATGCCTTTGAGAGCCCTATCTTCTGAATGTTATTTGTACAAGACGGAGAGACGGAGGTCAGTAAAGTTCAAGGGGCTCGTCCAACGTGGAGAGGGTGGTGAGGTGCACAGCTGGACCTGACGTCGGGTTTTCCGCCTCCCAGAAGTGGGGTCTTCACTTCAGCTATGCCCAGGTGCCCACCCAGCGTGTGGGCAATCGGTCACTGTCTATTCAAGGCAAACTGGGTTCCACCCCCGACACCTGCCCCTGCTTCCACGTCTCCTTCCTGCCACCCCCCCACCCCTTACCAACTCTACCTCTCCCACCTCTTTTGCCAATTCTTCTCCTACCCATTCTGGCACATTCCAGCTACCGCCTCTTTTCTCTCCACAACTCAAGCATTTACCGACTGCACCACTGATCTTACCTTATTTTTAAAAAGATTGAGGCCATTTCTCATGCGTTTCAGCAGGTAACCACCCATGGCCTTGTGCTGTAATTTAACCATTTCGTGGGTGTCTTTCCCATGGCTCCAGTTAGATGAGAGAATCCCAGGCTTACACATGTAAGGGTTAATACTCTGCTGCTTCTCCCTGTATATGTCACAACTCAAGAAAATTTTGATCCCACAGATGAATGACTGGCAAACCCATGGATGAAGGAACGATATGAGGTTCGATATTCTCTCAAGACCCAAGAACAGAGGGAGAGTCAGCTAGCCTTTGGTAATCCCAGATTCAGATCATCTCTTCACAATTCCCTCCCACTGCCCTGAACCAACAGCCCTTTCAAAGGTGAGGTGAGCTGATAATAACAGGGTGACCTGGGGACGCACGTGGGGCCACCAGTGAGAACCCCCATACCCCCCAGACGCTCCCGTGCTCCAGTAATTTCCAAGCCCTGACTGCTTCCACCTCAGATAGAAAGGAAACCAGATTTCAGAGACTTATTATTCAGCCTTCTTCCTTCACAGTTTCACAAATAAGACCCATTTGCTGCTTGAAAATTGCTTGGCAGAAATACTGTCACTTGTGTGAATTTACATTCTTAAGCGGCAGGGGATTCATAGCATAATGGTTAGAATTTAGTAAGTAAAATGTGTGTGGAGGTGGAGAGAGCCGCACTGGCTGGATCTTATCCGGGTCTGTTCCGTTTAACCATCCTGTGGCTAAAACTTCGGGCCCCACCAGGCCAAAGGTCTCCCAGGCTGCCACACCCGGATACCAGCCGGCCCCCTCCTCGCCCCACCCCTGCTCTCGCTCTCACAATAAGACCATAATCGCTCCGCATGATTTAAAGGACCACGGGAAGACCGGGGAGTTAATGCTGGTGGCGTGCTAAGCACGAGCAGCTGAAGGATCATAATTCAGTGCTGACATCTAAGCTAATCCACTAGTTTGCAGAATCAAGACAAGCGGGCCTCTGAATTTCACTCAGTTAAATCATTTGTGCCCCACTTGTCTGCTAAGTGCTAGGAGCTTGAGGGAAGAAAGATGATATGTAAATTTAAGGAATTAGCAGTAGACATCAGTCAGAGGGACACTGAGCCGCAAAACCTCCCTGCCTGTCACTGAGAGGGGCCTGATTGGAGGCAGGACGTCAGGGAGGAATGGCTCCATCCAGGCAGGGCCCAGGGAAGGGACGGGAAATGCGGGGGCAAGAGAACTGGTGCTGGCTGAGCGCCTCCTGTGGGCCAGCGTTGGCGCCAAAAATGCCGCCTGCTTTCTCTTCCGTGATCGTCCCTGGGAAATCTAGGTTGGGGAAGCAAGCACCGCTTTCTCTGATTTTACCGGAGAGGAAACGGAGGTGGAGGTGTGGAGTGTTGAAGCCATGTGTCTGAGACGGCGGCTAGGGAGCGAAGCGGCACCCAAGTGAGCAGGATCGCCAAGAGCGTGGCCGCTCATCTGGGCTGGACCCCTTGTCTGATGCTCACCCATCATTTAAAGCCTCAGTTTCCCCGTCTGTAAAATGGGTATAATAAGAACATTGCTGGAGAGGGCTGTGAGGAGAAGGAGATGGAACAGGCCATGCAAAATGCTTGGCACAGTAACTGGGACATAGTAAGTGCTCATTAAAACCCCTGGTCTTTATTACTACTACTACTATCGCTACACACACTGACTCCTATGCTTGCCTTTGTTTTTTTGTTTGTTTGTTTGTTTGTTTTGTTTTGTTTTTAAAGAAAAGAAAAAGGGTCAAAAAAGCACCAGTCACCTGGGAAGACAAGTCCTAGACTAACGAGGAAGTATGGTTTGGCTGGAGGTCAGTGAAGACGCTCCAACCCCTGCAACCAGCCAGCCCCGACTTGTGCATAATGTGCTGTTGACCACATGTATTTCTTGCCACTATATAGTAGATGAAATAAAATACAACATGATTTTGGAATGAGAGTGGGATCTCAAGAGACAGTTTAGATCAGGTCAGCCTGGCTGCCCAGAGGAACCACGCTGAAAATGTCCCCAGAACAGCTGTCCACCCTCTGCTTTCAATCCTCCAGAGAAGAAGTTTCCATAGGTCACATCGGCAATGTGTTTTCTGGATCACAACCCTAACTGTCAGGAACTTCTTAAATTCAGTTTTAAGTTTTCCTGCTGTCATTGAGACTCACGTCATCCTTCTATCCCTGATAGAGCACAGCCAATTTCTGTCCTCTGACTTGGAAACATTTTTCACTAGTGAAGAATTCAGACCCCGGGTCTTCATTTTCTCAGGAAACTCAACGCTTGCCTCTTTAAATGCCCACACTGGGGGGGCTTTAGTTATGGGGGTAGGTCTATACTAATGCTCTTCTAAGCAAAGTGCTTCCGTTCTTTGAAGTCATGGCACCCATATATGTGCTGTGAGTTCCCGTAGAACATTCTAGTTTATGGCCTACCCCTGCCGCACACAGAGGAAGTTGTAAGCACGCAATGGCTGCTGATGATCAACTAACGGGCTGGGATGGCACAGGTGGGCCCCTTTAGCCATTGACTTGGACTTCAAGGAAAAGCCCTTTGGGTTGTTAAGAGATCCCCAAACATGACAATCGACCAGCTAAGAACAAGCTCGCCTGCTGGAGACCATCTTGTACTCGTAGCTGATGGCAGTGATGCCGGCCATGGAGAGCTTCCAACAAAAAGACAATAGGAAGGAAATATGTTTAGTTGCTGAAAGAGAATGAAGAACTAATGTCCCAGAGATACAATCCCTCTCCTCCTGGACCTGACGTATTTGGGAGGCATTTTGCTAGGTTCTTGACT